TTTTTTTTTTTTTTTTAGTTTTAAGTTAATTCAGTTAAACTGTTAAAACCGTTTTGGTTTAAATAGACCAAACAGATAATAGCTTTTTAACTTTTTTGCTTATTGCAATTATTAACTGTAATTTAAATATGCAGCTAGCTATTCTACAATAAAAAATCTCAGAATTGTTGAAATATCTGAACAGTTCTTTGTTGTTTTTCGCAACAATACTTCAATTACCAAAATAATACTGTTAAAAATGTATATGACAATATTTCAAATGAGTAGAAATTTTCTTCTGGTGTTCTAAAACAATAAAGGTGTTCTTGAAGAAAATATGACAAGTATCAGATGCTTTTACCGCTCTTTTTTCTGCAATTTCAACTTCTCCGGATTCTTTCGCCTTTCTTTCTTCCTTTTTTCTCCTCGACCTTCACCAGTTTTTGCAGATAAATCAAAATTAAACAATTGAGATACATAAAGAAAATGATTTAGTGAACTATTTCAGAATTAAACTAGAATAGTTTGACGCCACCGAAGTGAGAGAAGAGGCTAAGAAAACGCTACTAAAAATGAGTTTTTGCATGAAAAAATGCTTACGACAATAATCAACAGTAGAAAAAAGCTGTATAAAAGTCATATAAATGAATGATTGCAAAAAAAAACTTCTCGTAAGTTATATCAAACTAATATATTAGAACCTAAAGATGAAAGATAAAGAGAGGTGAAGTCAAAAAAAGAACCTATACAAAGAAATATAGTGTTTCTTCAGCAGATTACAGGTTGTTAATTGCTTTATTTTTATAATTACAGTTTAAAGACATTTAAAAAATAAACTAATTTTTAATAATTTAGTTTTTTTTTTTGATATTTACGTTAGTTTTTCTTTTCTTTTTCAACAACTATCGTTGTCTGTGTAGGTAACAGTTGAAAGTTTGATGAACAGAAATACGGTGTCCAAATTTATTTCTAACTGTTGTTGTTGTGGCTTTTTTTTCTGCTAATTTTTTCAGTTGTCACTTATAAATAATTAATTTGACTAAATTTGATGTTAATGACAAAT